TGGCACAGTAGGCCTCAAAGTCAAGCATTGTACGGGCCATTACGACTGGCGCGTGCAGGCCCCCTGTAAACACGTGTATGAAGGCCCTAAATCAGGGGTCCTCAAACTTTCTAAACAGGGGGCCAGTTCACTGTCCCTCAGACCATTGGAGGGCTGGACTTTGGGCCCTGGGACAAGTCGGCTGCTAAGCAGGACAGGCAGTCGTAGCAAAAACACCTGGTTGGCTGGATAAATGTCCTATGCGGGCTGCGTGTGGCCCATGGGCTGTAGTTTGAGGACGCCTGCTCTAAATCATGGCAAGCTTTGTCATCACCACCACCATCTTGCTGAGTAATTCTGTTGGTATGTCACATTTATCAGCCACACATAGAAATGAAAGATTAGAGTCTTTTCCAGAATCATTTCGAATAACTATCACTTTGTTTTAGAAGACCTTAGAATTGAAAGGCAACCAAAAAGATATATATCATCTTGTATTATTCAATGTTTGAATTCACTCTAGAATATTAGAGAGAGAATGCCTTTATGATGATTTCAGAATGACTTCAAATTCTGAAAGTTACATAGACAAAAATAATTCTCAAATATTTCTGTGGTTTACCAAAAGAAAATGACAAGTTTTTGAAAAACAGAATAGATCTCACTTGGGACCCATTCTGAGTGAAGTGTCACAGATTCCCTGTGAGGAAGTTTAGGGCTTTACGCAGGTAGGGAGGACTTTGGAAGAGTGTTAACACATCATGCTGATGAGGACAAACCCCCCTGGGGATCCGGTTCCCTCTGCTGACTGCTAGAATATTGCCCAGGTAGCTCCACATATGAGTTAATAATATTTCTAGGAAACTCAAAACCACCTTCTCCCCCCAATAGCTTTCTGACATTTGCTTTAGTTCACCACATCCTGAAAATAGCTCTTTGGCTCCCAGCACTTTTTCAAACCACAGAATAGTATTAACTCTAATTTACATTTCAAATAGTTTTCCTAAAATATGACCACATCTGCATCTGTCTCACTGCCGTTTCGCTTTCTTAGTTTTTAAAAATAGCTCACCAAGTTTTGCGAGCTATTTTATACAATGATCAATCACAAACTCAGGCCACCAGAGAATCTCTTAGATTCAGAGATAACAACCGCAGCACAGGGCGAATCCTACACCATGGACTGTAAGCCCCAGGGCCACTTCTTCAGTGTGCTGAATGGAATCCCATTTCCAGTTATTCTCTCTGGGTGACAACAACAATAATAGCTAATATTGAGGATTGTGCCAAGGGCTTTACAATGTCCTGTGAAATATTATTATTATTATTATTATTATTATTTTGTTGTTGTTGCAGTTTGGTCGGGGCTGGGTTCGAACCTGTCACCCTCGGTATATGGGGCTGGCGCCCTACTCACTGAGCCACAGGCGCCGCCCGAGACACTGTTTTAGCTGTGGTTTACACACAGGTGAAATCAGCTGAGCCACCGACTTGCCCAAGGCTAGAGACTCAGTCAGTGATAAGCTGTGTCCTCTGCCCTGGTCTCTAAGGCACAGAATCCCGCTCTTCACCTCTCAGCTCCATCTTGTCTCAGAACCAGAACTGTGAAATCTGTTCAAGCCACCAGGGCTTTCAGAGAGGGACATGAGTAGATTACAAAGACTGTGTAAATACACACTGGCTTTCCAGCATCCCAGCCTTTTGGATTGCTCAAGGAGAGACAGTTGCCAGAAAAATGCACACACAACTCCCCTCTTTGTCAGTAAAAAGCACGGCCCCCGAGAACTCGGCCAAAGGGAAGCGGAAGAACATAAGATTACCCTGCAGAACAGTGAGCAATGGCTCAGCCAACAGAGACAGAAAGAAGCACTGTGCTTGGCAAGCGATGTCTACAAAGGGCCAGTCTTTCTCATAAATCTGAGTAGCAACAAGAACGACAGGAGAGGGGAAAGGCGGGGGGAGAAGCAGCGGGAGGGGCCGTGGACAGCCGTGTCAGTGGTCCTGCAGTGGCATTATGGCTGTTTTCAGGAGCAGTGACAGACACAATTAACTCAGAACAGCAGGGAACAAACTGCTCAGGACAGAAGACAGAACAGCTTTGCTGCCGTGGGGACAACCGGCCACCTGTCTCTGGTTTCCACAGTGCTTTGAGGCCTAGGGCAGGGTGCGGTGAGGACAGGCAGCTGCCTCTGCCCGCAGTCCCCACTGCACCCGTGTGCTCTGGCAGGGCATCCGGTCAGTGCAGGTGGATGGTCAGGGGACAGAAAGAGGACACAGTCACGGTGCATGGTGTCCAGGGGTGTGGTAAGGCCACTCCTGTACAATCCATAATACATCTGTATCCATGGCACGGTCCCTAACTGTCACCTAGTCCTGCCCTGCAAAGGTAGCACTAAGTGGGAGGGAGGGGGGCTTTTCCTGCTTTCTGCCATCTTTGATGGGGATAAACGATGCGTCTCCACCTGACTCCCTCTTCCCTCCGGATTGCTGTCTCTCCCACATAGAAGACCTGAGTTGCCACTGCAGTCACCATGTGACTTGCCACAAGCTATGCACCACGCTCTGCTATAAAAGTGCCAGGAAAAGCATGTTTAAAAAGCTGCATAATAAAATGTTTGTAAAATAAGTATGTGTGCAAAATTAGGTTGAATCTAATTAAGTTGGATATGAAGCTGGTATTTTAGTAAGTCAAAATGATCAAGGGTGAGAAATTTCATATGGCTTGACCTAGAGTATTTATTTGTACATAGAAGGAATCCAGAAGGTTCAGCAAACTGTCAATAGTTATCACCTCCAACTCCAGGGTAAGGGGTGGCAGGTAGGGGAGAAACTTCATCTTCTTTCTTTCTTTTCTTTTGGGGGCAGAGTCCCTCTCTGTTGCCCAGGCTAGGGTGTCATGGCCTCAGCCCAGCTCACAGCAACCTCAGACTCCTAGTCTGGAGGGAACCTCCTGCTTCAGCCTCCTGAGTGGTTGGGACTATAGGCACTCACCAAAATGCCTGGCTTGTTTTTCTATTTTTGGTGGAGATGGGGTCTCACTCTTGCTCAGGCTGGTCTTGAACTCCTGAGCTCAAGCAATCTTCTTCCCTAAACCTCCCAGAGTGCTGGGATTACAGGCATGCACCCCTGTGCCCAGCCAATATTATATTATATTCTTATTATTTATACTTTATTCTTATTCTTACATATATTCTTTTATTACATTATATTCTTCTCTACTCTTTGAAATTTTTAACCAGTAACATATTATACTTTTATGATAAATTTCTTCTTTAATATAAAGAAATTTAAAGTGCCAGAAAAGTGTTTCCACTCTTTTTAGGAGACAGGGTCTTGCTATGTTGCCCAGGCTGCACTATGGTGGTGGGTGTGATTATGGATCACTGTAAACTCAATCTCCTGGCCTCAAGCCATCCTCCTCCCTCAGCCTCCCAGGGTGCTGGGATTACAGGCATGAGCCTGGCCTGTTCACAATGTTTTGAAAAAGAGATTTCCCTTAATAAAAAGTAAAAATGTTATGTCTAATTACTTAAATAGTTGCTCTACTATATAGCCAAGAAGACCCTCACTGTCCAGTCCATTCCCCAAAGACACCTGCAGTTTTGAGTTTCTGAGGGGTGCTGAAATTGAAGGGCTGTGGTGACACTCTTTCAGGCATCTTAGAGCAGGCAATGGGAACATAACATCCACTGGTCCCAGGCCTCAGTGCAGGACTGAGGTGCACAGAAGACAGATCACTGTCTTCTCCCCAGGCAGTCTTGCTGAGTCCCGTGGGCAGGAACAGAAGCAAGGGGTCCCAATAGTCTGGGCGGCTTGATGCCAAATCTTTCACCAGGTGCCTGGGGACTTTCAGCTGCAGGTAATCCTGCCCTCCTCGAATCTTCTAAGCACCTCTCTCTTAGAAGTTCCCTCTCTACCCTGGTCAGAGTCATTTGTGGGTGTGGCTCATCTCCTCCACTGAACTGAAAGCTCCTTCCTCCCTAGTCACCCCATGTCCTGTCCTCCCCTGCTCCCCTGCCCAACACTCTGAGCCCATGGCCTGACATCACTTCTCCCTTGACGCAGTCTCAGGCCAAAACTGCACGTACCTACCCCCCACCCACTGGCAGCCCACTGCTAGGCTCCCTCTGCCACCCTCATGTCATCCAGCCTCCTCTCAAATCTTGCTGCCCTCTCCAGTGGGGCAATGGACAGGAGAGCAGATGTCCCCAGGTGGACCTGTCCCACTCAAGAGGGTCCCATACCTGTAGCCAACTGATTCCACCATGTGGTGACAAAGCCTGGGGCCACTTGTAAAGTTTCTTTCAGAAGTTAAGGCAAATCTTGTTTGTTTTCCATTTCCCAACTCCAAAATGGACTTTTGTATTTCAACCCCCATCCTGCCTTTCGAATTTTATTTTTCTTGGTACTTTTTATTAACACACTGCACAATTTTCTCCTTGCTGTGGTTTAAATATCTCCTTCAAAATATACATTGGAATTTAATTGCCACTGTAACAGGATTAAAAGGAGCATTTAAGAGGTGATCAGGCCCTGAGTGCCCTGCCCTCATGGGATTAGTGCCAAGTCTCAGGAAGAGGGGCAGTTTTTGTGGGAGTGGGATCCTGATACAAGGATGAGATTTGGCCTTGTCCCATCTGTGTTCCCCTGGGGCCTGGCCCTTCTGCCACAGACAATACAGCATGAAGGCCCCCAGCAGATGCCAGCACCACGTTCCTGGGCTTCACAGCTTCCAGAATCGTGAGCCAGTAAACTTCTATCATTTGTATTATAATTGTCTAGTTGGTGATATTTTGTGAGAGCAACATAAAATGAATGAAGCCACTTATCTCCTTACTGTTTCTCCCTCCCTGTAGAATATGCCCAAGAGGGCAGGGATATTTATTTATCATTCCTGCACCCATAGCAGTTCCTGGCCCACAGGAGTCACTCAGCAGACCTTGGTTAGGCAGATGAAGGAGCAAGTGGGGAGGGCTCCTCACGCCTGTCCATCCCGGCCCTCCCCGAGACACAGCGCTCACCTTCAGCTTGTGTTCATGCTCCTTGTTGACCCGGGCCAGCAGCTGGGCCTTCCTTCTGTTTAGGGCATCAATGAGGGCGTCACACTGGGCCACCAGACAGGCTTCAAACTCTACACTGTTCTCCTGCAGGACAGAGCACCTTTCTCAGCTGCCAGAGACAACAGAGTCCTCCCCTAACCCATCCATGTGGGTTAGAAATCCCTGCTGAAGGGAACTAGCAGGACTCTGTCCACAATGCACACGGGGGCTTTAAAAAAAAAGTAACTGGATAAACTTTGCTCTATAGTGGTAATGTTTTGCTTTAGACTAAAAAGGATAACTGTTACTTAAATTTATTTTTATCAAAAGGAAATTATCTCCACAATTTAAATTATATTAAGTAAAAAAGAGCTTTGGTTTGTAGAGTTGGACAGGAATCCTTTCGGGGGCCAGGTATGTTCAGCTATGTAGGGTGAAAGCTGGCATTCAGAAAGGCAGCCGGGGGGGAGTGGACGTCGTCTGGGCATGAGGGACAAGGGGAGAGAGAGGAAAGAGGATGGCAATGGCCTTCAACACAAAACAATCATGCAGTGACAGCAGAAGGATGCACAGGATGGTGGGCAGAAATACTTGCCCATTTCATTAAGAAAAACAAATAGTGAAGAGGAGGCAGTTAGGAATAATCAATGCTTCAAACAGCCATCCTAACCTGCTGTAAAAATCAGACACGAACCAGCAGCTTGTGGGGACAAAGATGACCACATGCCAGACACAGTATGGCTTCTCCAGGAGGTTTACACTGAAGGCTGGAGATGGCATTTTTATTTGATTTAAATCTGACCAGGCCATAGATATTTCTTTCTTTCTTTTTTTTTTTTTTTTTTTTTCAGTTTTTTGTCCTGGGCTGGGCTTGAACCCACTTCTCCCGGTATATGGGGCTGATGCCCTACTCCTTGAGCCATAGGCACCACGCTGGCATTTATTTCTTTTAAGTAATCCTCTCAGTGAGTTATAAACATTCATTAAAGATAATCCTTTCAATGAGGTGTATATATAAAATTTTGATTCTTAACCATAATCTGAAAAAATGTAATTTATAGCAAACAAAAGCTAAATACTCACATATGCATCAACAGCACTGAAAAAACAGCATCTAGCTGAGTAAACTATAAAATTTGGGGGCTGGCAAGGAGAGAACAGCTAAACCCATCAAATTTTAATTCCTTCCCAAAGTCCTAAAGAACTGTGTCTCCTTATACAATAATCAACGGATAGGTATTTGCTCACTGTCTTCAGTGAGAGGTCTTTCCACATGGTGTGCATTGTAATTGCTTGGGCAATGGTTTCTACACATGTAAATTTCGGTGGGGGGAACCTCTCCTCAGAGGCTCTGTCACTGATTTTTACCAGAAAGAAAGCTTTGCTCTGATGAAGAAGCCAGGGAGAGGCAAGCCTGGGGCTGCACATTTTATGCCAGCTAAAGCAAAGAAAGGACTGATTGATAGACTCTTGCTTTGGAAAACAGAAGGAAGTATACAAAACAGCTAGGTTGTTAGGGGACCAGAAGTTTTGACACAGACATGCATGCCAAAAAAAAGAACAAAGAAGAAGGCAAAGAAATCAGTATGTAATGCTTTGAAAGCCTGGCTTACATTTAAAAATCCATTTCTGCCTTGACATGGGTTACATATTAACTTAGGAAGCCAATTTACTGCAGACCAGAACTAAGGTTATTTCTGGGAGGCAAATCTCAAAACATAAGAATTCTAAACCATGCAGAGGGTCACTATTTTGGCATCTCATGGCCTTTGGCAGTTCATGGACTTTCCCCTTCAGCTATGGTAGGGCTTTTATGAGTTCTCAAATGTGGGTTGACGTGTTGGTTACTGTGTCCAGATGTGAATTTGAATATTGCTGCAATGTGAAATTACAGTCCCTAGGGGATCATGTTGAAAAATATTTAAGTAACTAAGTGGAGGGGAAGCATTATCAGGTCAAGAAGAAAGAAAGGAGGGAAAAAAGGAAGAAAAAAGAAGGAAAGAAAGGCAGGCAAAAAGAAAAAAAAAAAGGAAAATGTGACTTGTTACCATTAAATAAGATATAATTGCCACAAGGAGTTTTGGAAACCTATACAGTTTAAAAAACTCAGCAATAACGATCTGGAATTCACAATGAAACAGGCCCCTTTCTGAATGTTCGTTCAGTAGTAGAGAATTAGGACCTCAGTGTAGAAGACAGTGACTGCTCAGAAAACCAGGCTGTTTCTGGCTTATTGGCAAAAGGTAACCACCTCAAGAAGGGCTGCATGGATGTTTGTGTGAACAGAAGAGAGATAGCAGAAAAAAATAAATAGGAGTCTATCCAGAACATATAAAATAAAAGAGAAGAACCCCCCAGCCCGAACCCGGCTGCTATGAGCCCGCCGTGTTCCCAGCGTGTCCCAAGTGAGGCTGTACCTGAATCTGCTGGACCATGTTGCGCAGCTGCACCAGGAACTCCTTGGCCTCCTTGGCCCTGTCCGACAGCCCATTCAGCGCCTGCGAGAGCTGGCTCTGCGGAGACAAAGGAACCACGGGGCTTGAACCTCAGGAAGAAAATATGAGGCCACACAGGGTCGCCTGCAGCAAGACCCCGAGGCAGAAGGGCCAGCAGCCTCCTCAGAGCCCTCTTGTCTGAGGCTGGGCCATTTAGGTGACGTTCATGCACGTGGATTCTGGTGCCCGTAGCGTCCAGACTCCTGGGGCTCCTGAGCGGTTTCTCCTCTGAAGCAGTGGAAGCTTCAAGCCATGGCAGCCAAAGGCCTCACCAGCTGGTGTCTGCTTAGAATTTCCTCATCTCACTTATTAATTAATGAAATAATCACTTCATTCATGCCTAGTGTCTACTATGTAAGGACTAACAAAACAGTGAGTCAGATGGTCTGATGATACCAACTTAGCCCAAAGGGCTGCTGGCCTGGGACTGGAGCAGACAGAAGGATGAGAGTCAATCAGGACAGAAGGAAGAAAGGGTTAGGTTCCACCCCCACCTCCCCCAAGGACAGGGGGAACTCCTGTCCACACCGGCCTCCTAAACCAACGCTTACTGCCCCCTGACCTGTTGCAGCACCCATCCCCAGTGAGATGTGGTTCTGCTGGGGGACAGGGTGTGCAGCAAGGCCCTGCTGTCCCAGCCCCTGTCTGCAGGTGGCCATGGCTCACGCTGCTGATGGATGAGCCTGCGGTGGAGAGGTGCTGAGGACTGGAGGGGTCTGAGGAAGCTCTGGCTTCTCTGCTGACAGGGGAGTGGTGGTGGCTGGTGCAGCCTCTTCCCTTTAGCCCCCTGACATGACGATGGATGGAACTCATGGATGTGGGGGGCCCCAGGATGTGGGCAGTGGGGCAGGAAGACAAAGCCTGGGTTCTGATGGCATCTTTGAACAGCCGAGCCCGCAAAAGTTTTCCATGGCTTGCAGCCATTATCATCACACTTTATGAGGAACTGCTCCCCCTAGCAGCCTGGCTTACCCTCCCGGCCCTCAGGGACACAGGCACACTCGCTTTCTACACAACTTCTCTGGAAACTCACGCCCATTCTCCTCCTTGCCAACACAGCACCTCATCTACCCTTTCCTTTTAGTAACAGAATCCTAAAATTATGTCTCTTGATCTTGCGGATGTTTTTCTCCTATACTTGCCTTATCAGATATGGAGTTGAGCATAGACTCTTTAAAAACGTGCAGGCAGGATGCTTGGTAGAGGCAATGCGGGGCGACAGAAAGCAAGCCGGCTTTGAGAAGGTTCCATTCCTGCCTCTGTCCCTTACTAAGTGTGACCCGAGAAAGTTACCTCTCCCTGAATTACTGCAATGGGAAAAATGGAGATCATAATAATGCATGATTAGTCTATCTATGTTCTGGATAGACTCCCAACTGGTTGGGTTGCAGTGAGGGCTGGTGGCATGGGCCAACGGAAAGTCCTCCTATGGTAGGGAAGCGATTAAGGGAACTATTCTGAATTCATAAACGCAGCCAGTTACTGTTCACCTCTTTATAAAGAGCTTTGCCTCATCTCATTAGAAGAATAATACCGTTCTGGGTGTCCTGGGCATTGTACGAGTTCCTATCTGCTGGGGAACATTTTTGATCGCGTGCACATTGCTCTGTGTACTCAGACTCCAGGGGGTTGGACCAACATAGCTGAGTAAGGAGAAGAGCAAAGGAGCCTACAGAGGCGAAGGCCGCTCCACTCTCATGACCAATTTCTAGCTGCTCTGCTACTTGGGATAAAAGTTTCTCCTCAAATTGTTAATATTTCCAGGAGCCCAGGGGATAAAGGTGGGGAAAGGGTCTCCTTTGGAGGTGTAGGCAATAAAATAAGAGATACATTTCAAAGTAGACTTTTGTTTTCATTGTTACTTTAGAATTCATATCTTTTTTTTTCCTGAATGAGTAAAAATGTGCTAGGCTACTGCAGTTTTCTTCCTCTTTTTATTGTAACCTATCCTTAGTAACCACACACAAGTTTGGATGCAGAAGCCAAATTCCTTTGGCTACAGAGAAGTGAAACTACCTGATTTCTTATACTCTACACCCTGCTATTAATTCTGTCTGTGGAGTGTAAGTCACAGATCAGGTGCTGCTATTACACTTAGAAAGAAATTATTTGGTAGAGGACAAAGAGTGCTGGCCTCACCCAGATCTTACATGGCAAAGCAGTGAGAGAACTGCAGGGGTCAATTTAATTCCAGATTTCCTCTCTGGGTGTCTCTGTTCAGTCCCGAGGACGCCTTCTCCCCTGCTAATGATTGCTATTTGATACACAACAGCATTAGAGGATAAAGATCTAGAAACCTTCCTCTTAAGCTTTATCTACTTGTAGAAATTGTGCAGGAGACAAGGAGACAATAAAAAGTCCCTTGACTAGTTATTCCTAGACAGTGCTCTTACCTAAGAATTTATCTCTGTGTTGCTTTTATCTGATATACATTTATATGCTATATCTGATGTAGAGGAATATTCTTATTGATTGTGTTTCCCCGCGTTTCAATCCTGGCTGTGCGCTAAGAGGGGTGCTCTGTGTTTGGGACCGCAGGGCAGCCCGTACCTGTATGCTCAGAGTGTGTGCAGTCTCACAGAGCTCCCTGGGCTGCACACAGGAGATGGTATGGTTCTAAAAGCTGTTTCAAATGCACAAGCAATGCTATTAAGATTTCTCTGATACTGCTTTCTAATTTACTGGAAAGTTGTCATGATGGGAGTGACTGAGAGAGGATGAGGATGCAGCCGCTGGCACCAGCAGCCCTTCTGGTGATGGGACTTCCCACAGGAGATGGTATGGTTCTAAAAGCTGTTTCAAATGCACAAGCAATGCTATTAAGATTTCTTTGATACTGCTTTCTAATTTACTGGAAAGTTGTCATGATCGGAGTGACTGAGAGAGGACGAGGATGCAGCTGCTGGCACCAGCAGCCCTTCTGCGAGTTGTGCTCGCAGGCTCCACCCCACGGTCCCCCCACCGCCCCCTAAAAGCTGCAGGCCACTCCTCTTTCCCTGCTTCCCGGCTCTCCCTTCCACCTCCCAGCCTGCCTCCCTGTTGCCCTCCCAGGACAGATCAGGAGTTCTGCCTTTGGTGGCTACTGCAGAACCTATTTCTGGCAATCAGCAAATAGGTGAACCAAGCCTCTGCCCATGCTGCTGGGCAGGCCCAGGCCCAAGGCCGTGTCTCCTCTCCTTTCCCAGCCATGAAGGTCATTCATGTCATTTTCCACTTGATTGACTGCAAATATTGGATGGGGATAAATGGGGACAGAGGAGGCCTTCTGGCTGTCTGGGATCTGAAGTTACAGGCACCAGATGGGTCAAAAGGGGCAGCCGAAGAATTGGTCTTCAACAGATGAGGTGGCCAAAGAGCCAGGACAGCTTGACTGTCCAGAAAATGACCTTGCTGCATTCCGGCACCTGGCCCAGCCTGGGCGCCAAAGCCCCCTCCAGCTCCTTCCCAGCCCACAGACCATCCACTGGAGAAAGATGCTTTTTCTGGTGAAATACTGACTTTTGAGTCATGCCATGTTACTGACATTGTATACTTAAAGAGCAAAAGTGAGAAATTCTAATAGTTAACAATATATTGGTCATTATCCAGCTTTGATGGGCACTTTCAATGTAGAGCCTATTTAATTCCAATCGGGAATTAAAGACACACAGAGAAGACACACCTGTGTGAGGCTGTTTCCGTTCACATGTGGAAGGGCCAGAACAAAAACCCGCATCTGACACCAAAGTCATGCCCCTGGCTCCAGCCTCCCAAGAGAATCCTTCCCTCCCTCTGCAGAAGGGAAGGAAACCTCCCACAGTGACACGAGACAGGGCGGGCTGAGGCGGGCGTCACTGATGGTGAGAGAGTCACAGCCAGATAACATGTACACTACAGCATGGCTAGTTAGCCTAGAAACCTCCAAATCTTTTTTTCTTCCATCAAGTTGTTTGGTGAGTTGGACAGAGACTCCTGCCAGAGAGTCTCATGGCAGAGCAGGAAGAAGCTTTGCACTGAGGTCTGGCTTTACCCCCTGCTGGCCTGAGGTTTTTGGGGCAGAGATTGGGCTGAGTGGGGAAAGGAGGCGAAGGACAGTGACTTCACCAAGTGACAGGGTCTTGGGGAACCCTCAGGCTGAGCTGTCTGAGGGGCCTGATTCTCCTTCTAGGCAACATCTCTGTTCTTCCTGCCTGCACTTTTTGTGCCCGCAGGAAGGATGTCTTCTCTGCTTTCTCTGGTGGTGGGAGAGCCAAGCCCAGCAGTCAGGTGGGCAGGAATTCTCAGAGGTCAGCTTGCCTGGAGATGCCACCCTGGCTAGGCCCCGAAAAGACAAGGTTGTGATATGCAAAATGAGCAGCTGGATCTGGGGAGTGAAGGACACAGCGTAGGGACGAGGGGTGTGTGAGTGCGTGCACGTGTGTGAGTACATGCATTGGAGTGTGGGTGGGAGAACGCTAGTAGATGTGTGAGTGACAATGTGTGTGTACTTGTTTGCGCTTGTGTGTGTGTGAGCCATCTCATCAGTGGAGTACGGGAAGCTCTTGGCTTTGGGAGAGGCTGGTGTCAAGGGGTCTCCCCTTGCTAGACCTGCACACACAAGCATGCAGACCTCCACACCAGAAGCTAAAGCACAGTGCCACTTAACTCCCTTTTTATGCCAAATTAAATCCAAACATGCTATTTCATGTACTCTTTAAACCCTAAAAATGTATCAGAAATGCCATCATTCTGCCAGATAGTAGCAACTGAATCAGACAGACAGGGCAACGGGACCAACATGGCACTGGAGTTAAGAGGACAGTCTTTAAAGTCAGATGAACTCAGGTTTCCATTCTGGCCTCTTACCAGCTGTGTGATCAGGGACACAGCACCTTGTCACAGTGAACCCCATGGTCTCTGCTCAGAATCCTCTTCTAAGTTGTGCACCCATTTCAAGGCTACTGAAGTATCAGCAGTTAGTGATGACACCAGGAATTGGTCTTTGATGCAGCAAACTACCTGCCCTGCTGAAGGTCATGCCTCCTTCATAGCCAGGGGAT